TGTACCTCGGTTGCAGTTTGTCCCTAGCCCTGGTTGGGTTGTGTGAGTGGCAGCCACTCGATGTGTCCCTTTCACATCGATGTTTCTCTCTCTCTCTTCCTTTCTCTCCCTCCCACTCTATCTGAATATAAAATGGAAAAATGTCTTCTGGTGAGAATAAAAAAACATATAATAATAAAAAAAAAAGACATAGGGTAGCTAATTGGATTTTTTAAAGAAACATGATGATGTGTATGTTGCCAACAAGAGACCCACCTCAGAACAAAAAACTCACACAGAATGAAAGGGAAGGGATGGAAAAATAATTTCCATTCAAATGAGAATGAAAAAATGCAGGGGTAGCAATACTGATATCTGAAAAAATACACTTCAAAACAAAAGTCATAACAAGAAACAAAGAAGGTCACTATATAATACTAAAATAATTGATACTGGATAAGAAACAAAGATCTCTGATCCTTTGAGACAGCTTGCAGGGACCTGGAGAGCATTATGCTAAAAAAAAATAAGCCAGTCAGAGAAAGACAAGTATTACATGATCTCACTTATTTCTGGAATATAATGAATAGAATGATCTGGAAAGCAAAACAGGTCCAGAGACATGGATGTATTAAACAGACTGACAGATATCAGAAGGAAGGGGGAAGAGGGAGTGGGAAGAGATTAACCAAGGAACTTACATGAATATATACATAACCCATGGACAATAGTGCAATTAAGGCCTTGGGGAGGGCTAGGAGCCAGGTTGAGGTGGGCAAATGGGGAGCGGTAAATGGGGGACATCTGTAATACCCTCAAAAAAAAAAAAAAAAAGGAGAGAGCAAAATAAGAAGTCAGTGATCACAGGGACACATCCTTTCTTAGTAGATAGTAAATTCCTGAAGAAAAAGAAAAATAGGAAGTGGAAAATACAGTTTTCAAGGTGGTATCCATGGGAGTAACTCACTAATGACACTGAAGGAAGTACACCGTAATCTCACTCCAGTCCTCATTCTACCAAACTGTGCATATATGATCCCCAACTGGGTAAAAGTGTGCAAGGAAAAATATCTGGAAGAAATATGCCAAATGGTCCAGGATGGTTCAGCTCTGTGGTTGAAGCATCAGCCTGTGGACCAAAGAGTTTTGGGTTCAATTCCCAGCCCTGGTCAGGGCCCTGCAGGAGGCAATCAATCAATGTGTGTCTCTCACATTGATGTCCCTCTCTCTCTCTCTCTCTGGCTCCCTCCTTCCCTCCCACTCTATCTGAAAAATGAATGGGAAAATATCCTCTCATGAGGATTAAAAACAATAAGAAGAAATTGACCAAATGTTAACTAGCTTTTTCTCTAATCTACAGGATTAGGGGTGATTATTGTTCTCTTTAATTCCTTGCAGTCAGTTCCACATTCTACAATAAGCACATGTTGTTTTTATAATGAAAATTTTATTTAACAATAAAAATGTTTTTTGGATTTTGATGGGGAGTGCATTAAAACTGTATATTGCTTTAAGTAATATGGACATTTTAACTATGTTGATTCTTCCAATCCATGAATACAGAATATCTTCCCATTTCATTATATCTTTTTTTCAATCTTTTTTAATAGTGCTTTGTGGTTTTCAGTATAAAGGTCCTGTACATTCCTCTTTAAGTTTATTCCTAGATATTTTATTCTTTTTGTTGCAATTGCAAAAAAAATTTTTTTTGAAATTCCATTGTTAGTATATGGGAATGCAATGGATTTTTGTACATTGATTTTGTATCCTGTAACTTTACTGTATTTGTTTATTGTTTCTAATAGGTTTTGGTGGACTCTTTAGGGTTTTCTATATAAAGATCATGTCATCTGCAAAATGTGATACTTTTACTTCTCATTCCCAATTTGGATGCCCTTTATTTCTTTCTTTGCCTGATTGCCTGATTGCTCTGGCTAGGACTTCCAGTACTATGTGGAATGAGAGTGGTGAGAGTAGACATCCTTTCCTTGTTTATTTCTCCATTGTGGCAAAATACACATAATGGAAAACTCACCATCTTGAGCATATTTAAGTATACAATTCAGTGGTGTTAAATAATTCCCCAATTTTTTTTTTTTTTTTTTTTTTTTTTTTGTACATGCCCCTAGCGGGAACCGAACCTGGGACTCTCTCGTCCGCAGGCCAATGCTCCACCGCTGAGCCAAACCACCCAGCGCAATTTTCCAATTTTTGTAACCATTACCAGTATCTATCTCTATAACCATTTTCATATTGTTAAACTAAAAATATATACCTTTATTAACAGTAATGCCCCATTTTCTTCTATCTCTATCTCCAAACCCTGGCAACGACCATTACACATCTGTCTTTATGATTTTTCTACTGTAAGTACCTAATATAAGTGAAATCATACAGCATTTTTCTTGTAGTCATGAGCTTATTTTGCTTAGCTTAATGTCCTCAAATTTTATCCATGTTGTAATATATTGCAAAATTTCTTTCTGTTTTAACATTGAATAATATTTCATACATGTATATAGTACACTTTCCTCATCCACTCATCTGGCAGTGGACTCTTAGTTGCTTCTGCATTTTAGCTATTGAGAATGATACTACTGTGAATATGTGTAAGCAAATATGTCTTTAAGACCCTGACTTTAATTTTTTTAGGAATATATTCAGAATTGGAACTTCTAAATTATATAGTAATTCTATTTCTAATATTTGAGGAATGCCATACTGTTTTCCACAGTGGTTGTTCTCTCTCTCTCTTTCTCTCTCTCTCTAGCCATCCTAATAGGTGTGTAGTTTTGATTTATATTTCCCTTGTGATTAGAAGTATTAAGCATCTTTTCATGTGTTTCTTGGTTGCCCATATTTGAATCAAGTTATTTTTTATTGTTGAGCTTTAGAATTTTTCTCTATATTCTAAATATTAATCTTTTATCAGATATATGATTGGCAAGCACTTTCTTCCTTTCTGTGGGTTGCATTTTTACTATGTTGATATTGTCTTTTGATGCACAAAAGTTTTAATTTTCATGAAGTCCAGTTTGTTTATTTTTCTTTTGTTACCTGTGCCTTTGGTATTATATCTAAGATATCTTTGTCAAAGCCAATGGCATATAGCTTTTGTCCACAAATCCTGCCATTTGTGACAACATGGATGAACCTGGAGAACATAAACTAAGTGAAATATGGCAGATACAAAAGACAAATACTTAAAATCTCACTTAGAAGTGGAATCTTAATAGGTCAAACTCATTGTAACAGGATGGGAAATGTTAATCAAAAGATATAAACTTTCAGATATAAGATGAATAATTTCTGGAGACATATAGGTTCCTATAAGTACAGTATAGTAACTATATTTAATAATAATTTGAAATTTGAAATTTTCTAATAGAGTAGACCACAAATATTTTTATCAACAAAAAGACAAAAGTAACTATGTGAGTAATGGATGGGTTAATTTGTTTGATTGTGGTAACCATTTCACAGTATATACACATATCAAAATATCATGTTCTGTACCATAAATTACATATACATGTATATATATATAATTTTCTATGTCAATCATAAGTCAGTAAAGCTAAAAAATAGAAATAATATTAATAGAAAACAAACAACAAGATGCTAGATATAAACAAATATATCATTAATCATGTAAATGGATGAAATACAATTTGGATGCCACTTTTTTTTTTCAATCCTCACTCAAGGATACATTTTTCCATTTATCTACAGATAGAGTGGGGGGGTGGGAAGAGAGAGAGAGAAACTAATGTGAGAGAGACACGTCGACTGGCTGCCTCCCGCACAACCCCATCCAGGTCTGGGGACCAAACTGCAACCAAGGCTCGTGCCCTTGACCAGAATCAAACCTGCGACTCTTTGGTCCACAGGCTGACGCTTTAACTGCTGAGCCAAGCAGGCCACGGCTGGATACTACTTTTAAGAGACTGTATGTATGTTTCTGTATGTTTTTGCATGTTTGTCCCTATTTATTCATCTGTATGGAAAATATTTCATCAGGATTCTCTCTAGGTTATAGAAATTTTTTCTTCCACTTATTTGTATTTGATGGTTTTCTAATGGAAATTTATTGCCATTGAGTAAAATATGAAGAATTAAAAATTAAGATGACAGAGAAAATATTAAATTATTATTTTTAAAAGAATAATATTCTTCAAACCTTTTAGTACCAACAACAAACATGCTACAGGAATATTCTAAAGCAGGTTTTGAATATGTATTTGATATATGGTCTTTAAAGGGTACAGAAGTCATTAATTAATTAAGTCATAGTTCAGAATGTATTAATGTTGTATTCTATACAAATACTAATGAGAGAATTTAAATCATTTTGATATTTTTGTGGCTTAGAAAAAATACATCTTTCAAATTAGGTATTTCCTACCAAGTGTTTTACCACTTTGACTAGTGTAATTAATTTTTCCTCTCTCTCCGTATAGTGTGATATATATTTTGCTGTTATTCTACTTAGCATTTTTCTCCTCAAATATACATAATTACTTATGTATATCTCTTTATTCTTCTCAAGTATGTACACCCAAAGACCCAGCTTCAGATATAGGCAGTAGTGGGAAATGTAAGGACTTAAAAAAAAACCTACTACCCAATGTCCCCATCATTTCATAAAATAAAGAACATTTTAACCCTCAAAGGAGAGTAACTGTCTTCAATTAAAGGTAAGTTCTTTAACTTGAATAAGTTCAGCTTAATGCAAAATATACTGTGTTATTATTTTTTTCTCATGATAAAGCAGTTCATCAGAATTGTTGAAACTTTGCTGTGAATTGCTACTATTCCTCTGCCTGCTTTATTGGGAGTCACTGTTACCATGCCACCTCAAAACAGTACACCTGACAGTCAGTGAGAAAGAGCAAAGAGGCTTCCAAATGTGGAATCTTCTTTGACATTCCCCCAAATAAAATAGTTTGAGGCTCTTGTCAAAATAAAATGTTTTGTGTAGGTTTTTTTTTTTTAATGTGTGTGTACCTCTGTGTATGTAGGATCAATAACCTGCCATATTCCCAAGTGGATATTCAGCCTGACCAGTCCCCTACCTTGGAGGGCCAAAAAATAAGACAAGACATGAAGCAGAACATGATTATGCCCACAAACTACAACATACCAGTTTTTTCCAGATTGAATGAAATTGCTACCATTGAATTTAATACTGGGGTGAGCATATTTACTAAAAAAATTTAAACAGTATGTTTGGCTTGGGTATGAGATGTATAATTTGTTTAATATCTGAAATTAAAAGAGGTTTGGAGTTTAGCCATGGAAGACCCATCCAGATACGATTTCCTGATACAAGAGAAATGGATGCTAGATAAAAGACTGCTAGTCTCACTATTGTTATTTTTTAGAATTACTTTGAAAAGTTCTCATTCATTGTCTCATAAATTTTCCCTTGGTTCACATCTAACACAAGACTCAAGAGTTATGACTGTTGTGATCAGATAATACTGGTTGATCAGATTAAGGGCATTGTTTTCACTATCAATTATAGTTTGTGTATTAAAACCTACCAAAGGAACCTGCCAGTGTGGCTCGCTGGTTGAGCATCAACTCATGCACCAAGAGGTTGCCAGTTCAATTCCCGGTCAGGGCACATGCCCAGTTTGTACACCCAATCCCCAATGGAGGGCATGCAGGAGGTAGCCAATCATTGTTCCCCCTCACTGATGTTTCTTTCTATCTATATCTCCCTTCCTCTCTCTCTAAAATCAATAAAGAAAAAAATATTCTTTTTAAAAAAACCTAGCAAATGATAATACTTCCATATAAGTTTTATGAGGATATTTCCTTTTAAAATGGAGAAATATAAAGGTGATTATTTAATATTAAGTAAAAGAAATAAATATAATTTTCTTTTTGTAATCAGAAGTACTATTAGTATATTAATGAATAAAATCATGAGATTTTTCATTTGCTAGATCAAAAACCAGATTCTAATTCTTTCCCTTAATACCTTATAGAAATAAAACTTTTCATACCATCTTCTCATTTTCTTGAGTTCAAGAATATATTTGTATTATATGTGTATATCTTCAGCTGTAAAAAACTGAGTCATCTATATTAATGGGATCCAATATGAATATCGTACTTGAGTCACTAGCGATTGTATTTCTGTTTCCCTTCTCTTTTCAGTTTTCACTTTACCGCCAGCAATTTCATTCCATGTTTATAAAGAGAGCGCTATTCAGCTGGCGCAATTGGCAGTTGATGTTGCTACAGACATCAGTAATTTTGCTTGTCACTACATATCTCTTCACAACTCAAACCTTAAGGTCTAAGATGCCCACCAGAGAAATGGATTTGAGTCACTATGGTCGAACAGTTGTACCTTACTCCGTTTCAGGGAAATCTGATTTGGCTATGAATCTCATAAAGAACCTTAAGATTTTTCTAAATCCTAAGAATCAAGAAGTTCGTGAAGTGCAAGGTAAGACCCATTTTCTTTCTTTTTCTACTACTTACCTTAAAGACAGCCAAATCAGAGACAAAATTAAAAATGTACACTAGCCCTGGCCGGTTTGGCTCAGCGGTTAGAGCGTCGGCCTGCGGTCCCGAGAGACCCGGGTTCGGTTCCCGCTAAGGGCACGTACCTCGGTTGCAGTTTGTCCCCGGCCCTGGTCGGTTGTGCGGGTGGCAGCCACTCGATGTGTCCCTTCACGTCGATGTTTCTCTCTCTCTCTCTTCCTCTCTCTCCCTCCCACTCTATCTGAACAAAAAATGTCCTCAGGTGAGGATAAAAAAAAAAAAAAAAAAAATGTACACTAAAGACAGCTGACCATAAAAGTAAATAATTAATGGAGGTGTTTTGCCTCTAGGTGGTCTTTCAGCTAATTGTATCACTTTTAAGAGGATGGGTAAAGAGCCAAAATACTATCTTGTGAAATTTAGCATAGATCTTTATTCTAAAAAGAATACAAATATGTTTCTCTTAGCTCTCATAGGGTGAAATGTTGGTTCATAGGGAGAAGTTTATCCTTTAATCTAGTACATTGGCCATTCTAAAAATAAGTGGCTTAATAGATTGACCTCTCAAACTAAATTTTTGAAGATAGTATAAGTAACTATGCTTAATTTGTTCAGTGTTTGTTTTGGTAAAAACCATATTGAACATTTCTTTGCATTTTTATTTTTGATGCTAAAATCACTCCTTTTATGTAATTTATCAATTGCTGTGTAACAAATTGTCCCAAGACCTAACAGATGGAGAATTTAAATTTTTGTATGATGAAATCAACCCATTCTTCAACAAAATGAACAAAAATACTTAGAAAACAGCATTTCTTCTATGTCTAAATCATTTTATTTTTCAATTACAGTTGACATACATTATTATATTAGTTTCAGGTGTACACCCCACTGATTAGACATTATATAACTTACTAACTGATCATCCCAATAAGTCTTGCACCCACCTGACACCTTGCATAGTTATTAGAATATTATTAGCTATATTCACTACGCTACACTTTACATCCCCATGACCACTCTGAACAACCAACTTGTACTTTTTAAGACCTTCAGTCTTTTCACCCAGCCCCTTAACAACCCTCCCATCCAATAACTGTCAAAATGTTCTCTGTATCTACGAGTCTGTTTCTGTTCTGCTTTTTTCATTTATTTTGTTTTTTAGATTCATTTGTTGATAGATATGTATTTATTACCCCTTTATTGTTTATATTTTTATCTTTTTTTCTTCTTTATAAAGAAGACCCTGTAACATTTTATATAATACTGGTTTGGTGGTGGTGGACTTCTTTAGCTTTTACTTCTCTGGGAAGCTCTTTATGTGTCCTTTGATTCTAAATGATAGCTTTGCTGGGTAGAGTAATCTTGGTTGTAGGTCCTTGCTTTTCATCATTTTGAATATTTCTTGCCACTCCCTTCTGCCCTGCAAAGTTTCTTTTGAGAAATGAGCGGGCAGACTTATAAGACCTCCTTTGTAGGTAAGTAACTGCTTTTCTTTTGCTGCCTCTAAGACTCTCCTTGCATTTTTTAAAACTTTATCTTTATTGTTGAAAGCATTACAGATGTCCCTCCTTTTCCCCAATTGACATCCTCCTCCCCACCCCCACCCCCTCTGCCTTCAACGCACTGTTGTCTGTGTCCATTGGTTATGAATATATGCATATAACTTCTTTGGTTTATCTTTTTCCACCCCACCCCCACCCCTTTCCCTCGGAGGTTTCTCAGTTTGTTCTCTATTTCCATGGCTCTGGGTCTATTTTGTTCATCAGTTTAATTTGTTCATTAGATTCCACATATGAGTGAAATCTTGTGATACTTGTCTTTCTCTGAATGGCTTATTCACTTAGCATAATACTCTCCAGATCTCTCCCTGTCATCTCAAAGGGTAAGAAATATTTCTTTCTTACAACTGCATAGTATTCCATTGTGTAAATGTATCACAGCATTTTTATCCATTGATCTATTGATGGATACTTGGGCTGTTTCTAGATCTTAGCTATTATAAATAGTGCTGCTATGGCAAAAGATACAATCATCAAAATGGAAAGGCAACCCACTGTATGGGAGAGCATAATTGCCAATGATATATCAGATAAGGGGTTAATTTCCAATATATATATAGAGTGCTCATACAACTCAACTAAAGGAAGACAAAGAGCCCAATTACAAAATGGGCAGAGGAACTAAATAGACACCTCTCCAAACAGGACATACAAATGGCCAAGAGAAATATGAAGAAATGCTCAACATCACTACTCATCAGAGAGATGCAAATTAAAAGAACAATGAGATATCACCTCACACCTGTCAGAATGGCCACCATCAACAAATCATCAAACAACAAGTGTTGGCGAGGGTGTGGAGAAAAGGGGACACTGATGGTGGGAATGCAGACTGGTGCAGCCACTGTGGAAAATACTATGGTGTTACCTCAAAAAGTTAAAAATTGAACTGCCATTTGACCCAGTGATCCCACTTCAAGGAATATACCCTAAGAAGCCTGAAACACCAATCAGAAAGTATATATGTACCTCCATGTTCATAGCAGTACTATTTACAATAGCTAAGATCAGGAACAGCCCAAATGTCCATCGGTAGACGAATGGATAAAACCGCTGTGGTACATATACACAATGGAGTACTATGCAGTTGTAAGAAAGAAAAATCTCTTATCCTTTGAGACAACGTGGAGGGACCTGGAAAGTGTCATCCTAAGCAAAACAAGCCAAACAGAGAAAAACAAGTATCATATGATCTCACTTATTTGTGGAATATAATGAACATAACAGTCTGAGGAATGTGGTAGTCTCAGAGATGTGAAAGTGGGGTACAGACTGACAATCCCCAGAAGAGGGGGTCGTTGGAGAGAGATAAACCACAGAACTTATATGCATGTATGCATGAACAGTGGACATGGACAACAACGCTGGGGACAGGGCGGGGAGGGATGGGGAGGGGGAATCAGTGGGGGAAAATGGAGAAACATCTCTAACAAAAATAAATTAATTAATACATTAAATAAAAATAAATAAATAAATTGCTGATTCATCCTCAGCTTCATCTTACATGCTATTGATTTTTTTCTAGTGTATTCTTTATTTCAGATACTGTAGTCTTAATTTCTGTCTGATTCTTTTTATGGTTTCCATTTCTTTTTTTATTAATTTTTTATGTTGACCTTATTGCAGGTGTCCTTTTTCCCCCTCCTTTGTTCCCCTCCACCCACCACCATTTCACTTTCCCTTGGCCTTCACCAAACTATTGTCCATGCCGATGTGGTGTGCGTATGTGTTTTTTAGCTATGCTTACTATCTGCTTTTTGAAGTTTTCACTGAAATGATTCATTTCTTCCCTGAAGTTCTTGAGCATTTCTATAACCATTGTTTTAAATTCTGCATCTGGTATTTTGGTTGCTTTAATTTCATGTAATTATTTGGGGTAGGGGAATTTCTCTTTTTTTTTTCATTTAGAGCATATTTCTTTGTCTTCCTGTTTTGTATCTCTGTCTTAGATAGATCTACTAATGACTGCCAAACTTGTTATGATAGCTTTACAAAGAAGGTGTATCTTTGGGCTCAGTAGCACAATCTTCTAGTTCACCTGAGCTCTGTGCTCCAGGAATGTTTCTTGTGGGTTATGTACATTTCCTGTTGTGGATGTATCTTGATGAATACTCTTGGTCCTTTTGAGGGTGAAGTTAACCCTTCAGGCTGGGTGAATATACTAATAAACCTCAATCCCTGTGTGTGAATTACTGTGCAAGGTCTGCCCTTCAAGGTGGTGTTGTCACTTCCGGCCAAGATGGCAGCGTAGGTAAATGCGATGTCGCGTCCTCCCACAACCACATCAAAGTTACAACTAAACTACAGAACAACCATCATTCAAAACCGCCTGAAATCAAGCTGAATGGAAGTCCTACAACTACGGAATTAAAAAAGCAGCTACATCCAGACTGTTAGGAGGGGCGGCGGCGGCGGCGGCGGCGGCGGCGTGATGGGCTGGTCCCACACCCAAGTGTGGCGGATAAAAATCAGGAGGCTCCTGAGGCTGGGAAGGTCCTTCCTGAGGACTGAGGGGTCCCCGTCCCACACCAGGTGCCCCGCTCAGGGTTCCAGTGCCAGGAAGAGAAGTCCCCATAACTTCTGGCTGGAAAAACCAGCAGAAACTGAGGCTCAGGGAAGCTGAAGCAGCTGGAGCCCCAGGCAGCTCCCTAAAGGGCCCGCGCACCAACTTATTGGACTCTCTCTCCCTCTAAGCTTGGAGGGGAGGCAGCTCCAGGGGCACCAGAGACACACAGGGAAGAACTGAGCTGTTTGTCACTGGAGCGAGGGCTGGAGAGGAGGCTTTCTCAGGGACAAACGTGCTGTCAGAGGCCTTTGTTCCTTTGGTGAGCCCTTCCCTGGGGCGGCAGACAGAAGCCATATCTGGGACTCCAGCAACTTGGCTCACACTGGTAGCCCCGCCCTGCTGACTCCCTGAGGCCCTGCCCCACCTCGCCCCACCCAACTTTCAAGCCCACCCAAGCTGTTGCCACTTGCTTAACCATAGGATTGGCCGGTCTTGGATCCTGCTTCAGGTTTTTCCTAAATTCATTCAAATGAGCAGCATCTGGTCTCAGCGAGCCCCATACCTCTCATTAAGTAATACACTGAAACAAACACAGGGAGGCATCCAAAATGAGGAGACAAAGAAACAGGTCCCAAATGAAAGAACAGAACAAAACCCCAATAAAAGAACTAAGCAAAATGGAGATAAGCAACCTAACAGATACTGAGTTCAAAATACTGCTTATAAGGATGCTCAATGAACTTAGTGAGAACCTCAGTAAACTTAGGGAGGGCCTCAAGAGCATAAAAAAGGACCAGTTAGAAATCATGGATACACAGTTAGAATTGAAGGAGGCATTAACTGAAATAAAGAATAATTTACACAGCTTCAATAATAGAGTATGTAAATCCAAGG